TTTATTGTGAACAGGTGTTTTGGAAAGTTGATTCTGTTCATCGTCTTTTGGAGCTGACTGTACATATTTTTTTGAATGTATTAAAAGTTTGCTGACGTCATGGAAAAATATGATCACTCGATAGTAACAGGCTATTTGGCACAAGTTTTCTTTAAGAATAAAACCAATAAAAAGCCTTTGACTATGAGGGTTTTTTAACGTTGCCCTGCACTTTAATTTTCATAGTTGCATTTATGAATATACAATTTGACATACACACCACACTCAGACTCGGAACATTAATTTCTAGATCACTCTAAGAGTTTTTCTGTGTGGGAATCGAATCCACGACATGTTGCTCGGCAGCCAGTTGCCAAGCCACCACGCCAGCTGTGCAGTCAGAACATTAAATAACTTTTCGCCTATAACGGGGCGAGAGGAAGCATCATACTCTTGGTGTATAAAAAGCAGCCCGTTTTTTCTCTAACTCCAGATTGGGACCTCGAAATTACAAACCCAATATCCGGAACCCAGGCATAACAAAAACCTCTTAAGAAATCACCACTTAAATGCTCCACTATTTTAATTTACGATTACATTATTTCATTCCATTTTCAAAGGCCTTCACAGTTTGAGCCCGAAACCGATTCAAATGTTCAATTTCGAAAAAATATGCCCATCTGTTCCATTACCCACGATTCTTTTCCTATCACAAATTCAACGGTTTGTGACCATAAAAATGACACATGTTACTTCAACTTTCTCTTAACCGAGCCCCATATATCAGCCACGTACTGGATCCCTTCAGCTATGCTCACTCGTGCATTTCAGATTTATGTCTATATCAGGCGATTCTCTATGTAATACATATCTTCGGTTTAATCTCCTTACTCCATAGTTTGAATTTATTGCTGTAATTTTTGGGATACGTTCTGGGTACGGTTGCTTATATGTGTGGTTTTTGGATACTACTTCCATTACATTCTACCTCTTATTTGCAAAACCTTAAGACACATATTTAGATAGCAATGCCACTTATCGATGTCCTGAGAAAGAAGAAGTTTACAAAAAAAAAACATATCTATTAATTTGACCTCCATGGAAGAAAGGCGTAAGTAAGATCTAGTAAATTAATATGTCAATAAAAATATTGTCACTGTTCAAACAACCAATCCTTTAATGAATATTGAACATGTTTGAACAAATGCATAGATTCGTCTGAATTAATGAAATTATTCAACTTCAAACTTCTAACAATAACAATCTTGATCCCAAAACTTATTTTGACTTCAAACTTTTGAACTTCGCTAAGTGAACTAAGTGGAACTCCGTACATTTCGATAATAAATAATATAAATTTGAAATACGTTTGAATTTGCTGGATTTCTACCAGATCGAACGAATCGCGATATAAGTTTGACACTTACATGAAACATGGTCCAACTTTTTTGTTAACGTCTAAAAAGCAGATGGAAAGCGTCTAAAAATATTGCTGAATTTATAGTGATACTTTACTGGATTTATATTTAGATTATTTTAATGCCTTTTCCCAGTAAATGGAGCGACAATTTTGGTTTCTATGCTAAAATATATACATATAACTTTTGAAACATAACTAAAATCAAACACAAATACACACGATCATAACACCTAGACTGAGAATACCAACCGTCGATCACACAAAGAATTTGATTTGCATGATTACCCGCAACACGCTGCACGGGTAAACCAACCAGACCGATTAGCTATATTCCCTAGGAAACTAGTTTAGTGCTTATGATTAGCTTTTGAACTACAATTAATATACAATGTTATCATACTAAAACAAGATACCCCACTAAATAATGCATGAAATATAAGATACATATATTAAGCACGCTGCCATCACAAGCAGTGCTATCATAAAGCCAAGATGTATAAGCCGCACCCGAGAACTTTCGGGGTAGCATAATGCAAGACACGTTTATACCACTTACAGTTGGCCCAGCTCCAAAACCGCTTACGTATACCTTAGCAGCGGAATGTAAATATTTTTCAATTAAGTTTTTGTACTCCACTTATTCTCAAACAACGTACAATATACACTTAAGTGGTTGTAAATAAGCTACACATTGAAATAAGGTATTGTTAAGGAAAAGTTTGTTGTAATAAGGTTCTAAGGAAGTTGCTGAAGAGAAATTTTACGTGTTGAAATTTTTTGAGTCGAGTTCCCTTTTTTTGTAAGGGTACATACGCTTGCCACAATATAATAACCGTTAAATTTATATTATTTGTACTGACTCTAAATGGACATACTTCAGAATCAATGAGGCAAAAATTAATAGACTTATCCAATAACAAACATGAAATTTCTTATGTAAAAAAAACATGACAACAATATTCTTTGCTAATATTTTAAGCTTTGCTAAGCATCGGACATCATTATCTCACATGGTATCCAATTTTATTAACCTTTTTGATAATATATAAAATGTGTATTAAAATTAAACCACAAAACTTGGTAACTCTATAGAGCAACCGCAAAAATCACTTTAAAAACTTTCCTACACCAACTTGTTCCACAAAACGAAGCAACAAATAATTTGATTTTTAATTCTCTGTTCATTGCAGCATCGGACGCTTTTTAACTCCATTGAGAAAGTAAGTTTTACATCAAAATAGAAATATTCATAAAAAATACTTAAGCCCCCAACAAGTCTTACAAGGCCCATTCACTGGAAACTTTATAATGAAAGTTTCTTTATATGAAACAAAGAAGAAAGTTGATGAACCGCCTACTAAACAGACAAAGTTGTACACAATAGATGATTTCAAGACTCTAACATTATGATCGTGTTTTAAAAAGAGACTTGACTTGTTAGACGATTTTGTGAAATAATTTAAAAAAATGAACCAAACACACGATAACAAAATTTTTCGACACATTCTGAAGATGAACACAAATGACATGGGAAAGAAAAAAAAATCAACAATAATAAATGAAATAAAAGTAAATGTGTATTTTTAACACGAAGAAGCAGCCGAACCCCATCCACACTCAACGTCTCAATTTAGAGTAATCAACATCAAAAATGAGGACATCTCCGCTCCGCTATCTAAGCTTGATCGATGTTCTGTCACGATCTTTGATATATTTCTTGGAGAGGGTAAAATTTCAACTGAACGTATTTTGTTAAATTCGAAACGTGTTTTGATGTGACGCTTCAAGTAATCGTGTCAAAGCGGTTTTTGTTGGAATACGAAATAGTGTTTTGTTTTTTTTTGTTTGTTTGTTCTCTGAGACTGAACTCCAGTTGAAAGGCAAAAAGTGATAGTAATTCAATGTGAAATGCTATTTCAGCAGATGTAGTACGAATACAAGGAAGTCGCTTCATTTTAAACATAAATTTGTTTTACTTTTTTCATTATCTAACTTTTTTGTATGCATTTAATTTTTATAAAAGTTTTTATTTTAGATGTATAAAAGAAACAGAAAAAACACAAATCAAAATGATTTCAAGAAAAATAATTATTAGGATTACATATAACCATAATGAAATATTTGTTTGGTCCAAGGTTTGGTCATCACGACAATATCCAAACACATTTTAGTAAATATGTACTTAATATTTTTCAGTTTAGTCGGCGGTGCGTTTACAAACATAAAATTTCATGACATTTCGGAACAACAGTTTATGGATCACACAGATATAAGGTGATTCCGTGCGGGAAACGAACTTTCGACAGGTTGCATAAACCGTACAGACGGGGCCGTATAGGGCTGATGTTCAACCGGGGTTGCGGGGTAAACGCAATGAGGTACCGCGACCTCGGCCCAGGAGAAAAAAAAGGAAGGGTTTTAGTCAGTAAAAATCTGACACTCCTTCACACCCAACCTTGGGCTGAAGAAGTCATTTGATGATTTTTCCCTCACAAAAAAAGTACGGTTTTTTTCGATAATTTTTACTACAACTTAAACAAAAGTGAAAACACAAACAAATTTAGATATAGCAAAACAAAGCTGTTGAAAAAAACAAAATGAAAAGTGAAAAGCCTTTAGTCACATAAAAGGACCTTGCCTTAAATTTTTATACGGCCCTATTTCGTAGAGTTTTATTTAGAAAATTTCAAAGAAACTTCCTGTGACGAAATTTTGACTTTCAACAAAGCTCCCGCTTTAGCCTTCTTCCGGCATTTGGAAAACTTTTATTGACCTTATCAGGTAAAGTAATAGGATTAGTAAGAGGAAGGAACTTCCTTAATTTATTGACTGTTTTGCCTTCTAACTTGAACTGATAGTATCAGTCAAAGTTCTGAATGTCACAATTATAGTAAAGAGTTTCTTGGATATTTTGAAAAGGGAACTTTAGCTGGCTGATCTTGAGCAACCATTCTAAATTTTTTAATGATGTATCTTATTGCGCATTTTAATTATTATTACCCGGTCAGTTTGTAAGAAGTTTCGATTACCTTTGAATAGTTTATATATTCCATTTAATAATTATTATTATTTCAGTACGTCTCACGCTAGTTATTAACCAAAAAAAATGACAGCAATAAATTAGTGCTAACGATTTGACTTGTTGTTTACATGCCATATCACATTATGGCATTCCAAATCAGCAGCATCGTTTTGATCATTATTATCTCAGATAAATAGAAATTTGCATTAATTCAGATCAGTCAACAATTGTTGGCAATTCTGTCTAGAATTAACATAATAATGCATCAATCATCGTGTTTAAGCAAATATGGGTCGGTTCGTTGACGATTCATATTTAAAATCTATTACAGGCTCATTTTTATTAAGTCAATAAAATACTTAAGCTTATAATAATTAACGTTAACATTTTGAGTTGTTTCAATTCAAATCGTTTACCAAGCTTTTTTGGTGAACTGATGACCTTTGGGATAGACATATTCTTTAGTGTATGTCACGTCACTGCTTTTACTCATAAGCAGTGTAGGATTGCCTTCAGTTATAGAGGTCATGTGGCACCAGATACAAGAGGAGGCACGGTTCTAGGGATGTGCCTTAAGATATGTCGTTGTACCTTGGATACTTCGGCGTTGGTCTGTTGGTGAGAACCAGGTTTTTCTTGAAGATCAGTCAACAGGGTGATTTTTAATCCTAAAGTCCAAATATTATTGAAATTTTCCCTCCATCACCAAAAAAGAGAACCATATATTTCATCCTGGCGGTGGTTGAATGTGATTAGCTGCATCTGGCTACTCTCTAACTCTTAGAACATAAAGCTATTACTAACTACATTTTATTCTCAAAACATTATTCTGCTAACATTAGAACATTGTTATAGTTGTAAGGAAGAAGGTTCCTTGTCGGAACCAGTGCGGTACTGCATTAGCAGGGCCCAATATGTTGTTGCGTCCAGCCGTGCCGACAACGCTGCTGTACGTGTCCAGACTGCATCATTCCACGAAGGTTGAGGAGGTCGTGGAATATATGCGCGTGAAGACCAACTGGACTTTGAGGGTCGAGCTGTTGGAACCGCGTCACAAAACGAACTTCAAGTCGTTCGTGGTGCGAGTTCCAACACATCACCTCGAGAAGTTCCTCAAAGACGAGTTTTGGCCGAAAGGTGTTATGTACCGCCGGTTTCGTGGCCAGCTACGTGACACCAGTCAGCGAAGCACGAGGCCGACACTTTGTGTACATTAATATAGTCAATTAGTTTATTATGTACCAAATGTATATTTATAGTATTGTTAAGTTTTATTTAATATAGTATTGTATATGTTTATATGGGCTTTCGATGCCTGAAATAAAAAAAAATATAGGGATACCGCCTTTAAGTAATCTAATTTTTGACCTCATACTTGAAAGCCACAAAACCACTCAACCATGTCGAATTACAATTAAAAGCATCATCAAATTACAATTACAATTTAAGTATCTTCTTCCATATAATCCAAGTTTGACTAATAGAAACGAAATTCTGCCTTTGAATAATTTTAATAAGAAACAATTTACTTTGAAACTCCCATCATATTAATTCATACACCCCACATTATTATTCCCCAATGATTAAATCTTCAACTCTCAAAGTCTCCTCTAAAACCTTTAACTGCAGTCTCTGGTATAAATACAAAAGCCAAATAATCTTCGTTAAGGAAATCTTAACAATTATTGCTATTGTTATCATAGTCTCAAATTAATATTGGACCCTTCCATACTTTTTGCCCTACAGTCTAAAATATTTCTTCTAAATACAATTTCTATTCTGCGTGATTTTCGTAGTTGGTGTAAGAGATATTTTTACACTGTGTTTGTGTAAAGGGGAACAAATTCAAGCAATACTTAGAGTTTGTAAGTGGATCCTTTTTATGATAATAATGTCTGTTTAAAATGGCATAAAGTTTCTGCATCGCCTTATCTGTGGTCGCTTGTTTGATCATTTATTCAGTGATGGTAAGTGGGGTTGGAACTTTCTGCGGTTGGCTGGATATTATTCAAGATTTTTTCATGTAAAATAATTTAATAAGGTATAATTTATGGGAGCTGTTACAGTTTGTATAAGAATTTGTTTAAAACAAAGTCGTCTGCCTCAATAAATTATTTATCGCACTGATTTAATATACGGTAACTTTCTACCTTTATACTCACTGAGTTTGATTAAATATAATTGAAATAACGAAGTGATTTCGTTCTATCATATTGTTAGGCTAGGAGATTGGTCTGTTTTTTGATAATTCTTATATAATGAGGATAATGTACTTTTAGCTAAAAAAACTGTCAAAATTCCAAATTTTATCATAATAATGAAAGAATTTTCTACACCTATTTGTGGTACGAATAATAAAAACAAATTCATATAAAAAGATGACGTTTCAAATTTCTTTTTCCAGCAAAAAACTGCATAGCATTACAAATCAAAAAATCCGACAAACACTTCAACAGTATCCGAAGACAGGAAAAATCCTTTTTACCGTTACTATCGTCGTCGATAATCAACCGGCGGCCATCTTGAGAAACGAAATAGATTTAAAATGTCGCCCGGCCCATTTTAAGCGCGAATCTGTAGATAACGCAGTTATCTTCCTGATGTATATTATGGGAAGGAAAGGACTGTTTTTCTTGCTTTCGATAAATTTGTTAGTTTATAAATGTAATTTGTCTCGTCTGTGTCTCTGTTTATTTTCGTATTGAAAGGGTTTTTTTTTTTTATTTAATAGGTCGGCAAACGAGCAGACGGATTACCTGATGGTAAGCAATCAGCGCCGCCCATGGACACTCGCAACGGAGGAGTTACGAGTGCGTTGCCGAACTTTTAGGGATTAGAGATTTGGAGATTTAGGGATTTAGGAGGGACTGGGGGAGGGGAAGGATTGGGCCTCCGGTAACCTCACTCACACGGCGAAACACAACGGTGTGGTTATTTCACACCGGTTTTCTGTGAGGCCGTGGTATCACTCCGGTCGAGCCGACCCATTCGTGCCGAAGCATGGCTCTCCCACACTTTTTTCTCCCACAGTTTTGCTGTTTAAAAGGTTATTGCCTTAAAATAGATACGTTTTCTGTTCCAGTTATCATAATATGATTATTGTGGTTTAGGGAAATAATAAATGATTCTTTCATATTATAACTCTCGTTTTTTAAACCTGAAACGACTAATTATTTTTTTCGATCGACTTCTAAGCATTCAGAAATCACAAATTAAATAGCAATACAGAGTTTCTATGTAACATTTAAGATGAAAATTATTTTTTCCAATCATATCCAAAAAGGACTACACACCGAAGGTCTCAAAAACATAGTTTGATTTTATAAAATTGTCCCACAAAAATTATAACAAAAATAATAATTTAATTATTCCACCATTATATGTATTTAGTAAACCTGAAATTATATACCCCAAATTATAGGTAGGTACTTGTATAACTATTCTAACTAAAGCTTGTCTTAATACTGTTTAATGCTACATAAAGCAATAATCTCACGTGTTCCATATTCAGGAAGTTCCGTAATTAATTACTGAACACTGTTCAAGTCTGTTCAGCGAAGGTAGAATGTATATATGTGTATTTTGTTGCACTAGCTCGTTACAAGTATGCTCTTAGCTTAAGGGGAAAATAATAAGGCATTCCATTTTCCTAGTCCTGTGGGAAAGCGACGCAAATGGGTATTAATAAGTATTCCGTTTCTAAATTTGAAATATTCAGAATGAACTTTTCATAAGCCGCTATGTGGTACCTAATAAAAAATCTTTGTAACTTGTTCTGCAAAAGATGTGCTCTCTGGTATGTCGTTTAAGCAGTAATACCAACAAACTGACTTATTTATGGGTAAGGATTTGCAAGGGATTAGAGAATCACCTAATGGCAAAGCATCGGCGTAGCTCATGGACACTCACAACACTAGATGAAAATAATGCATGCTCTTGGCGTTGTTAGGAATATAATTGTAAGGGTTGGGGATTGAAGATTTAAAGATAGAAGTCTACACCCTATGACTGGGGCTTTGATTTCATGAGGCCGTGGAATCACTCTAGTCAAAGCTATGGAGCATGACTTCTCGGGCCAAAAATCTATGAATATATCTAACTAAAATCTAACTAAAAATAAATCTATGAATAACCTATCCTTCTAAATTTTAAACTTTCGCGTTTCATATTAACAACAACGGAAAATTATTATTTGAATACCTTGGTAGGCTTGACGTTTCGACCCGGTTGCACAGGTCGTGGTCACAAGCAGACTGCTTGTGTATTCAAATAATTATTTTCCGCGTTAATACCCGCGTCAAAGTCAAAATAATTTATTCCAACTAAACCATAAATAGATACTTTTATAACGTCAGACTAGAAAAGTGTCAGTCTGTTCGTCAGTGAAGCTAGGTGCTATGTTGTTAATAACCTATCATATTCCAAATACTTTATATTTCATTTAGTTTGTATTGCGGTAGAACATTAGTTAGCAGAAATATCAACAAACTTCAAATTGAATAAAATTTAAACAACATAGAATTAGTTTACACAGCTAACACAACATCATATACTATGCAAAACGAAAGCAAATACAAATAGCTGTTATTGTGAATAAAATATTTACTAGCAAAATATATTCTATGTATTTTTTAAATAAATTCAACATTAAATCATTCTGTCTAAAACTATTTGAATCTATCCTTATATACAATGGAACATGTGCTATCAATGAAAGCGATTCTGTCGTTATATAAATTGTTACGCTAGCTTGAGTCTTGAATGGGTAAAATACCATTTATATTTCGGTATGTTTATAGAACTCACTCTCTGATCGAGAGGGTGCAAGTATGAATATCAAACCTCATACTCTCCCATGAATTTGTTTCTGAAGGCATGGACCAGCGTGCGCAAGTGGATGGATATACAGATTATTCCAAATGTTTTGACAGAATAAATCATACAGTGCTACTGGATAAATTACTACTAACAGGTATTCATGGGGACCTTTACCGGTGGTTCTCATCATATATTGAGAATCGCACACAGGCAGTAGTACTAAAAGGGTACGTATCTGGCTGGAATTACGTTCCTTCTGGAGTACCTCAAGGCTCAATCTTAGGACCTTTGTTATTCACACTGTTTATCTCTGACATACATAAGTGTTTCAGACATAGCTACATCCTACTCTATGCAGATGATATGAAGATTCATAAAGTTGTTAAAAACATATCAGATGCTGAGCAACTTCAAAATGATCTGAATAGGTTCGAAGAATATTGTGTGTATAATAAACTCCAGTTAAATGTTGCGAAATGTTTCCAAATCACATACTCCCGACAAAAAACTATTGTTAGTTTTGAATATAAATTAAACGATCAAATACTCAATAAAGTCACTTCAATTAAAGATCTAGGAGTAAAAATGGACAAAAAACTTTTGTTTGATCAAGACATTGATTACATTGTAAATCGAGCATCAAGGGCGTTAGGATTTATTATAAGAGTTTCAGCTGATTTTCGTTCCTTAAAAACTATAAAAATTCTATATTGTACTTTCGTACGTAGTCACTTGGAATACGCGTCACAAATTTGGAATCCTCAGTACGAGATATATAAGTCTCGTATTGAAGCTGTACAAAAGAAATTCTTGAGATACTTAGATTACAAAGCACGGCAGTATTCAGATGATTACAATCACCGTTGTAAAAGATATCACTTTCTACCGTTACACTACAGACGTAACATTAGTGACATTTCATTTTTCATGAATATTGCGAATGGGTCGATCGATTGCCCAGAACTATTGGCTAAGTTACACTTACGTACTTATCTTTTAGGGCTCAGGCATAGACCACTTATGCAGATTGCTTCTGGTTCAACCAAATATAGAAAAAATACCTTTCTCTTGCGTGCAGCACGAGCATTCAATAATATTCCTGAGGACTTAGATGTAGATCTTTTTTGTTCAAAAGCGATCACAGTGAAACGCTTATTAGCAAATAAATTCTTTGAAGATGATTCCCGGATGTAAATGTCGAACTTTATTATAATACTTTGCTTAAGATTGCATATCCTTTTAATTTTTACATAGTGTTTTTGTGTATAGTCTCATTGGAGCTCTCCGAAGGGATGGGCAGTCTTTCTTCAAAAGTAGTTCCTTTATTTATATATATATTTTTTTTTTGTGTCATGTGTTTATAATATAATTACTAGTTTAATATAGATTTAATTTGTGTAATATTTGAGATATTACCTATCTGTGTTTACCTTTTCTGTATGTTCCAGTGAGGTTCTTGGGTCAGCCTACGATAATAATATTATTTTATGTAGTCACTTAATGGTGGAAGCTTGTTGTTAGCAAATTAGAAATTTATTAAGTTATTATTATTACAATTAGTCTGTAAGCTTTCCTTCGAATAAATAAATAAATAAAAATAAATAAATCAGCCAAAGTTACTGTTATTTTGGGTTTCTTTTTCAATATCAAGGCAAAGTCTGTAATCACTGCATGAAAAAAATGCTCTCTTTGAGAATGGAAAATCATCATAATTATAACTTCTTCCATCCAGGTTTAGGCGAAACGGAGTGTTAGACTCTTACTGACTACACAACTTTTAGGCGCACATGGATTGCTACGCGCTGTACGCTCGGGGCTGGTTCTGGTCGGGCAACGTGCTACCCTTGCTTGCCGACTGCAGAGTCGCGTTTTCGGTGGTTGGACATCTTTGCTCGATCCCCAACGCCTGGAAGGTTGCTGCGCTATCAAAATGGAACATAATCGTCGTTGGTACTCTAAAGACTATCACGAGCTAATTTTCGAAACGAAGAACTCGAAAAAATACGAGGACTGACAATTTATTAACAGTGCTGACACTAATGTTGATCGAAGAACACATTTGATGATTTTCCTTTAACGAAATCGTCCTCTATATTTTTATCAGGCGGAGTTTTTATGTATCATGTTGTATTTTGTGAACATTAGTTACCTTGGAAGTTTACCCTTTTATTTGCATTACAATATTGGAAGGCTGAAAGGTTAATAGTGTAGTTTTGTATTGCAAAGGTTTTACCTTTAAGGGTTGACTGGGTTTTAACCGATATTTGCATATACTATTATTGTGTGTACCTACTGCGGAAAATCTTTTGAAATCGCAGAAAACAAGGTCTAAATGGGGTTCAGTATAAAAATCTGAATATTTTCAACAGTTAATATCAAACATTTTTAACCCACTTTTTTATTTAATGTAAAAGGACAGACGGACTAACTGATGGTAAGAAATCAACGGCGCCCATGAGCACCCTAAACACTAAAAAGTAAAAGGAGTTAGTTACCTTTGGGGATAAGCGTTTCGGATATTTATGGATTCGCGGGGAATTGGGCCTCCTGTAATCTCACTCACATAGGAAACACAAGACCGTGGTGGTTTCACGCCGGTTTTCTGTGAGACCGTGGTATCACTCTGCTTGAGTCGACCCATTCGATCCAAAGCTTGGCTCTCCAGCACTGTTTTATTTATGTTATAAAGGCTTATACAGCCCTAGAAAATAATTATATTTAACAAAATAAGCTTTATGATGTATTTCAGCTTAGTACGACCACGTTAGATAAAAACACTAGGTGACTGTCCTCTCTTGCAAGCTAATCCCACAAAAGGGATTTTCAAACAAAAAGTTGGAAGGGGCTTATAGTAATAATTGCTATAATTATGCCACTAAGCCTTCACAACTTTGCCTCCACGTTGCTTGTTAGTAATGGCTGTTTGATGTACGAGCATAAAATAGCATTCGCGTACATAATATAAATAGATACACTAAACGAATATGAATTGTGATAAAAGCTATACTGACTATGAAATCTGACGTTGCTCTTAGGGTGAGTTGTATTGGTATTGTTCCATATTTGAAATGATTTTCTAAATTTAAATTTTAAGCCAATTTGATTTAAGTTTAACCCGGTTCCAACCAGTTTTATTTTCTGCAAAAATTAACAAAGTAAGGTTTCAGCTGTGATAGTTTCAAAATCTGTTTTATTTTTATTTTGCCTAAGCTAAAAGTGTACTCTTACTTCAATAGAATCCACTTTTAGCTAACAAAATAATACGATTTTAAAAAAAGAAAAAAAAAAAAGTATCAACAAAAAATTGCAAGTCACTCATCCCAAAAAAAGACGACCAAAAACCATAGGACGCTTTGCAGGTGAAATATGTAAACAACGAACATAATTGTGCCCCTCCCACCCCAGAAACGAGATGTCACCGCTCCATAATTAATTATTTCATTATAAATTTCACGTAAATCATTAAAAATTCTTCCCGCGCCGTGTCTTCTAATTACAGTGGGCAGGTTTGAGTATATTGTCGGCTAGACAAAGCGAAGCGAGACTAATAATTAGAAAAACATGTTTTGACTTTGCGAAAATTATTAGAATCTTAACAAAGCGCTACTCCACAATATCTACACATTAGAATACATAGTTTTCTTAAGAACATTAGAAAGAAAGGATTAGTTTGTGAAATTTTTTAATTGAACAGTCTGCATAACCACTTTGTTATTTAACATTTTTGTGTGATCAAGTATATTTAACGTTCCCTTAATCTCCTAATTATTTCTCTCAATATTGTCTCCATACCCATGTTTCCTATAACAAACCTAGTCAAATTCCATGTCATTGATATGACTTTTGAAACATACCCAATCATATTTTGCCCAAATCATTTAATCTTTAATCGATCCAACTCACAAATCAATTAGACTCGTTTTAACCGACTGAAGGCGCCATCTGAAGGCAAACGCCATTCAACTATGGGTAAAAGTAAAAGTAAAAATATTTCAAAAGATATTAAATATCAACGTTTCTTCAGTACAGCACCGGTCTAAAGGTGTGCTATTAAACACAGAGAAATTGTTGTATTATCATCTCACGGACCATTAATCTTCCACACGTTTCAAATGTTTTTCATTAAAATCTATTTGTTGTAAGCACGCACTTCCTTCCACATTTCTTAGTACTTCAGTATTTTATGTGCTCGCTTTATTGCTTGAACAAAATAAATAAAAGTGCAGCATGCTTTTGTATCTAAGAATAGACTTATTCCATTGAGGTGCTTCCGTGTGTGTTCGTGTGATAAAGTAAGATATTATTATATTTATTTATGTTATAGATATCTATAGTTTTCCGTAGAAGATGTATTTCTGTTGAACTATTAAAAATTTGACATTTTTGCTATCGAACTCCAAAAATTTTATCGCAGTAATTGGAACTCATAACAGACAATATGTTCGAACAACGAAATACTCTTCTGTTGCAAAAATAACACCATTATAGTCGTAATGATTCTCATGAGTCGGCACATGAAAAGAAAACTAATTATGAGGTTCCAACAAGTTGAAAAGATTCAAGCATAGCCAACTCTTATAATGTAAAGATTTCAAATCTCCTGCGAACTTAAGTCGGTAACTTCTTATTCTAGTTTATTTCTGCTTCTCCTAATAAAAGTTATCGTATGCTGAATAGCTAGGCAACTCGATAGAAATCCGTTTCGCATACAGAACTCACTACTTATTCAATAGTAAGCCAAACTTTACTGCAACTGAGGCTAAATTACGGACCAGATGCTGGAAACTTTTTTCCGGTACTGCTATCAGGGGAAACCACTTCAAAACATTCAGGAACTACTGTAATTATAATTCTGAAGTGTTCTCATTAAGTTTTAATGGGGGATCTTCAGTAAAATCAGTTTGGACAGCTGAATCTCAGCTCCGTTTGACCTCTGGAGGTAATTAAATGAGCTCGGATAATCTCTCCGTCACTTCAGACCTGTGGTTGTAATGCAGTTATTTAGAAGTCCCAACTACTGGTTTGAACGGGTTCGACAAGTTCCCTACGTGTTCTAGTCTAAGTAGTCTTGAAATATGCAGATGCGTTCTTTTTTCTTAAAATACAGAAATATGAAAGTATACAGAAGATACAGTAATAGGAGAATGGATTGTTGTGAAAGTTTACTTCATAACTTTAGATGTTTTTTTTTTTATTGGCGAAAATCATCAATTAATGTCTTTTCTCGCCCAGGGTGTAAGTGTCAGAAAAATCCACCCGATCAGCTGTGAGTGTGTAAGTTATAACTTAAATTAGTCTACTTAAAATCAAACACCATATAAAGTCATACGGTCTGGGCTGTGGGGCAAGCGCAATAAGGTACCACGGCCTTAGCCTGGAGCGGGAAAAAGATCAGGTAAACACTTACATCCTGGGCCAGAAAAGATATTTGTTGGTTTCTATTGCCATCGAGTTGTTTTTAGCGATTTCGGTTTGGTGACTTTTTTGTGATACCGTTTGCTGTCGAATGCTATCTTCAAAGAGTTTGTATGGTAGGGGAAAAATCTCTAATCTATTTAATCGTCGTTCTGAGTGCAGCATCTTACCTTCAGCTGAGATAAACTATTAGAAGGTCAACGTACTATCCTGTGTACCTCTGCCACTGACTTATTAATAGCATTTGTCGATAATTGATTTTATATGGTACATTTTACAACTTCTCTAGCGTACACTTGCGGAATCAAATCCCTAGTGCGTAGCCATGGTCAATCACTTATTTTTTATATACAATATTTTTACAGCGCCTCTGGTGGTCACTGATAAAACTTAAATTGGACACAAAAAGTTTCATCGTCTCTATCGAGTGTTGCAATTTTATGCCTAAAGCCATAGTTTAAATGTGGGAGAATCATGCTTCCCTTGCTTCGGCACGAATGGGTCGGCTCGACCAGAGTCATACCACGGCCTCACAGAAAACTGGCGTCAAACAACCACAGCGTTGTGTTGCGTTGTTTAAATGAGATTACCGGAGACCCAATCCTTCCCCAATTACTAAATCTCCAAATCCCTAATTCCCAAAAGGTCAGCAGCGCACTTGTAAGTCCTCTGGCCATGGGCGGCGCTGATTGCTTACCATCAGGTAATTCGTCAGCTCGTTTGCTGACCTATCACATAAAAAAATAGTCTAAACATTTATTTAAACGTAACTAAACATTATACAGGTGTTTTTTAAATACTACTCCTACAAGTTAAATTTAACTCCTTATAGATAAATTAAACAATCTGCCCCTCCTAGTTAAGATCCACATATCGCCAGCCAGACCCTAATTTAGACGAATTACGTTGATCTAAAATTAGCTATTTAGAGTTATGTGGAGTTTAATCTAGTTTCTTAACATTTTCATCACTATCATTAATGACTTCAAAACAGGAAGTTTCGACTTGTGGAATTTGTACTAGAAAAATATTATGCCTTTTGGGTTATTCGAAAGGCAAAAATATGTTTTTTTTAAAAAAATAAGTATATTATTTAAAAGAATATCACTCAATAGTCTCGTTATTGAAAAATAAAAAACAACGTTGCATTGGTTTTTTTATTTATGTTATCTTTGATATTTCTTTAAATCCTTGCTATGCAAAAATTGTTTATTTTTTAATTTATCACTCCCGTTATTGAGAAATAAAAAAATCGCATTAGTTCTTTTTCGTTTAAATTGTGTACTTTTTGTAACACATAATATGAACAGTGAAACCCACAATATATTACTTTTTAGTAAAAAAATTCCCTCACTCTAAGATTTTCTCTTCTATCCTCGGTGCATTTACAAACATATAATTTCGCAAACACACCCAGACCCGGAACAACAATTTTTGGATCACACAAAGAGTTGTTCCATGCGAGGATCGAGTCCGCGCCACGTTGCGCTGTAGGCACGAGACGGCTGGGTTGTCCCAACCGTTTCTGCACGTCACAGTCGAGTCGAGCAGCCGAGTCTACCCGTGCCAACCGTGCAGTCAACACACATTAAATTATACCAACATTTATGGTTCACTGGTTACAATGTCATCTATCAAATTACGGGAAAGGCTGACAAGGAAATTCAAAATTATGTTGTGAGTAGAATATTTACTTCACACTATATGTACATATGTGTGTATACATGGCACGTATACAATATATAAAGCTACATATTGGTAATCTTGAATAGTAACAAGAAACAATGATTCGGATTTGACCTTCAATTTCTGCAACACTGGATCAGTGGTTGGGTAACCGGCTGTTGCCCAACGTGCTTCCTCTATGTTACCTGCCCGGATCAAAATGTTGTGTAATCCACAAATAATTCTTCCATCCGAGTCTTCCTTGCATGGAAATTTGAATGTTTTAAACACGACGCAAGAAAAATACCATTAATATTAAAATCATTAAATTATTTTCACTCACGTTAATGTCTTACGAGTAACTCGATCAGTTTGAAGTCACGATAGTAACTTATAGTCATGCTGCACTATGCTGTTCATGAATATGAGCCCTAGCTCGGCTTGAAATTAGTCGAGTTACCTCGTTAGTCAGTTACGTGGTTTATTTTAGTCATTAAACATTAAACAATATTTACTATCTTCTGCCCACAGCTTTGCCCACATCGTATGTTGACAAAAATCAGCCTATGTGATTAATCCAGAGTTGATTCTATCTAAGATAGTATTCAATTTAAACCAAATCGGTCCAGCCGTCATTGTGTGAAAGAAGACAAAACATACATCAATGCATTCTCAGTACAGTTGTACTTATCATAGCCCATAAATTGATTATAATAATTATTAGTATGTACTTACAGTAGGTGATATGTTAATAGTCTCAAATGTCGGTAACCAGCGGAATTAAGTGCTTAGATGTAATATCTAAATTAGTTAGTTGATTACTTAGCAGAATGTATGAATACGAGCCAAAATCATTACTGTTAAGATTAAATGGATTTAATGAGATGAGTAAGCCACGCCTCTAATTATTGGTGGTGTAAAGTGATATCCTATACAAATACAAATACAACCGTATAGTCGTACAGAGAAACATTAATGACTGCGTCTACTGTCTATTTCTGCATATTAGTGTCAGGATGTTCGTTTGAAAACTAGCAAACTTAAAAACAAAAACGAACTGGAATAGTTATTGTGTAAACTGGACAACTTTGTTTCGCATGCAAACGCAAATATCTTAACTTTGAAAGAAACGCCATTTGCCAAATTTACTCCTTTACTTTAACCATCTATTATTACCTATCTACTTTTCCAAAATGTTTTATAATAAGAACCTTCTCCTTACCATAAAGAACGCAACGCAAAAATAATTTGCAGAATTGGTTCAAACATTGTTGAATTATGCTCTTATGATCACAAAATGTGTGACCAATATAGATAACATTCCAATACTTAAAAATCTCGGATTGAAAATAGTAAAATTAGATATACAAATTCTAAGCCATATAACTACTATATCTCTAAGGCAGTTCAAATGTAAATCGAATGATTTTCACAACGAGTAAACAACAAAGAAACATGAAGAGAAAATCGATCCGTACTTTACAAGAGAAAATTCACATGAATATTTTCTTCTGAATATTGCTGGGTTTGTCAACCCTTGGCAATAACATGTAGCAGGTGTATCGAAGTAATCCATACGTTTGTTCGTTCAGCAATGATTACTGAAGTGGATTCATATTCAGAGAAGGTATCACTAATAAAATATGGAATTTCATGTATCTAATAGGAGTCGACTTAAGCTAAAAGGTCGCCTAGTCAATCTTGCCTTGGGCAAAGTTTGTTCCGACGAAATTGACGCGACCCTCCGATTTAGAAACACGTTGCGTTTCATTTATTGTTCCTCTTGATTGAATGACACGATTTGTTTTGGATGTAGGTTCTTTGCAATGTTTTTGGTATGTAAGGGTTTTTTCGAAATAATGGAGTAGAAATTTTAAATTTCATTACACAAATGTGATCAAGGACTGTGTTAGTTATAAATAATACGTTTTTATGAGTACTGTTGCACACGTAAAAAAATATCGGAGTCACATTTGCCCGACATTGATTTTTTTTTGTATGTGATAAGTCGGCAAACGAGCAGACGGATGACCTAATGGTAAGCAATCAGCGCCGCCCATAGACACCCGCAACAACAGAGGAGTAACGAGTGCGATGCCGACCTTTAGGAATTAGGGATTTGGATTTAGAAAATCTACCCCTAGATTGGGGGAGGGGAAGGAATGGGCCTCCGGTATCCTCACTCACACGGCGAAACATAACGCTGTGGTTGTTTCACGCCGGTTTTCTTTGCGGCCGTGGAATTACTCCGGTCGAGCCAACCCATTCGTGCCGAATATAGCTCAGTTTTTTTGTTCTCACTGTAGTAACCACTCGAAAAAGGTAAAAAGTAATAAAATTTTAGGTACTGAAAATCCGAATAAATGAAAGTTAATCCCGTAAAACCCTCTGAAGCTACCCAAGGTAGATTCTTTAGAAGGAACAAAATAGGATTAGATTGTAAAGTAACGCTAAGTCAGTCTGCTTTCATTAAGATGTTCTAAGCCTTAGCCAACTAAGATCAAGCACTGAAGGACTTAGTTACCTAGCGACTGCTATTATTATTTAAAAAATGATGTTTATCACGTTGCTGTAACTAAGAATAGTTGTAATAAAATTATGATCTTAATCAACATTAAAAATGTTTTGGTAGGCGCCTGTTATCTTATAAATAGTAAATTCCCTGCCACAATACGAGCAAACGATTAAAAAAAAAAATATTAACAAAAAACAGAACAGTTGTATTTTCCTGAGATTGTATCAAACTCTTTGCTCTGTAATTGCTCTTGCCATCCCTTGATTAACCAGGCAAATAATAATAGACTTCATAATATTGAAGCTGATGAAATAACCACAACTACCCAATCTGGGATTAACAGGATAATATTATGATGATGATAATTAAATTTTGAACCCAATTACCATTTCGCTTATACTGGTAGTGCAGTTTATCTAACAATGTACACTATGCTGGCAAAGTTATGTGAAACAGTTAAAAGTTTACCGGCTGGTGCAGTACTTCTTCAATTCCCAGGCGAAGGAAAAACTTCACAAATCATATAATTCTGAGATTAAACTCCCCCTGCAGGCAATCTTTAAACTATTTCAGAGTTTCTGAATACATTTCAAAAAAGTAAGGTCCGACATTTTTCGCTACAAAGTCTAGCTGTTTTACAATTTAAATGTAGTCTAATACAAAACTTTAAATAAACCTTTGTTTTTAGTGAATTTAAAACAGTACAGTTTCTGATTTATTGCGGAACTCGTGTTGTGGATAGTTTTAAATTGTATTAGTAGTTTTTGAATGTCGAATGCGGTGAAACAAAGGAGCTAAAAAATAGGAATATTGATGTGCTTGCAAAAATGGGAATACAGAAATGGATTTATTTGAAATGCACATATTTTATTGTCAAGGTCGTTTAGATTTAGCGAGGCAGTAAAAAGGAAAATTCCAACAAAATTAATTCCGAATTCCTCCAGAAATGAATTTAAAGAGAGAAAAGAAAAAATAAACAAAGCCACGAATCACTTCATGATTCCCGGTTAAATATAACCGCTGTACTTTGTTTGTAAAAATTGCGGCCATTCCACGTTATGAGGAAAAAGTGATCCACGACTAAGAACAACCGTTTCCTTTGGGTGTGGCGAACATTTCTCAGCTTTACGTACAATATATTATCATGTCTGTTTGGGATTCTCCCTAATATATAGCGGTGGCTGATTGTTTTGGGTTTTATTTGAGTATTTCGTGGTTGCCGGTATCAAGGGCTTGCAATAGATCCTCACAGATTTTATAAATGAAGTGTTTCTTAGAGGGAAATGAATTTTCAGAGGAGTGTGTTTGATTGTTTTCACAATACATACAATAAAATTGTATCTATTTTTCAACAATGTTGTTGTGTTCTGTTAGAAAAAACTAAAACTCCTAAAACTTTTCAAAAAACTAAACAACTACCTGAAGAAGGTTTGACTTTCACGTTTCGAAATATTACCATAATTAATTGTGAAAATAAAGTTAGTGTGGTAAAATTAGTTGAAGAAGCATATTCGCTGTTGTAAATTAAAACATGATTGTATTATTTTGAAATCATGTTGAACGAAACATGAGCCAAACATCTATAAAGTAGAATGAGACATGTATGCCGCGAGGCATCGCTCCCATATTTTGTGTTGAATCATTTAGTTGCTAGCGCTGACAACGCTAAATGAATTGAATGTAAAATTTTAATTAACTGCGGATGTTGGAATTGTTAACATGGTTTTATTTTGTTTTTATACTGTTTGTAAAGTGCCTACGAAAATTGTTAACGTTATTCTAAATGCTGCAATTATTTAAACAGTTCTTGTTGCGAAGTTACACTAAATGCATTTTAACAAACATGGAAGATTATAAAAGTTTTTCAATGTAACCTAACCTTGACAAATGCAGACACCATTTAAATGTTTAATTAGATTATCCAAGGACATCATTTTATTAAATTACATATAGAAAATATAATAAGAGATCTATCAAATTATTTCCTTTTGGATAGTAGGATTTTCACATTGATGCTCTGCGAGAACATGGAATCATTTCGGTCAAGCTGGCCTATTCGTGCCGAAGAATGGCTCTCCCAAACTCACCGATTCCTATTTAAAATATTGACGTGTAAGAATGCTTTAAAGTAGCCTATTACCAGCAACATGTACCTACCATTTTATCATCATGTACAGCAAAACCGCCTTCATACTGCTACTTAAATAAGAACCTCTTATCGACCTTGTTTGCCGCTTCCACTTAAAATTCTTCGTCATTCTATTGTTCCTGATCGATCGTTTCCAATTATTTACCCACAAGCTCCCACAGTTTTACTGTTTTATCGTAAGCAATATTGACGTAAACAATTTAACAAACACTCTTCTAGTGTCAGAAGCGTGTAAACCAAGATTAATCGTTCGTCAAACCATCCGTCTTGTGACGTCAAAACGCAGCGTGCTGGAGAAATTAGGGAGAGTGTGAACGCACGATTGTCTGCGACAATTTAAGGTACATTTTTCCTGTTGTCTGACTTGTTGGCCAAATAAGCACAAATTATTTTGGAAGGTAAGTGGTCGCGAAGTTTGTTGAAGATTATTATTTATTTATTTATTTATTTGAGACTTCATGCACAAAACATTGTACATAGGCGGACTTAATGCAATGAGCATTCTCTACCAGTCTACCTTTGGGTGACTTTTAAGATTATTACCAAATACTAAAATTGTTCAATATTTCAGATTCGATCTAAAATCGGATCACGTACAGAATACAAAGTTTCAATGAGCATGTACTTATTGATTGAGGATAAAGTCATGTAAATGTTTATGTTGTAGTTACCAGTCGACTATTTTGTCGCAGGTTTGTAGAAATACTTGTGTAAATAAATGTTATTATCGGCTGCGTTCACGTGATTTGCACATTTTGTGACGCGTTTGTGACGTCATGAGGAAGACGGTGAAGTAACAGTACATTTTACACTGTTACACGAAGCAAATTTTTAGCCTTCATCGGTAATAGGTATGCATAGTAAAATCAATCCTTGTTTATAAGGAAATGATGAGATTTTGTATTTGTAACAGTTTACTAACTTTACTCATATTTAAAGACATCTTGATGCGGCGTGGCTTGGAAAAAGAGGAAAAAAAAATTGACAAGGCAGCCGATTTGTGCCGAACCTGTTCAAGTACATACCTATTATATAACCCCGTTTTTAAAAAATCTGTACAGTAGCTGTTATACACATTTTATCCTTAAGCAAGATAGCGAGCTAATCCGAGACATTAAAAATGATTTAATAGCAACACATCCTCACCTTGAGTCTCCGTGGGTTTCCGTGTTCCATACATCATGGGGTTTATGTTCATGAAAAATGTTTAGTGGTTTTTGTGCGCTATATTATTATAGTTCAACATGGCAGGCGGGATATGGAGGCGTTTGTTTAAGCTTATAGTGACAATAGTACAATAGGAGGTAAACAAGTGGATATAAACTTAGACGATATTAAGGAACCTAAAATTGTCTTATTTTAGGGCAAATGTTTTTCTCACAGTCGTATTTATTTACTTATTTCTTCTTAACACAATACTGTCTTAATGGGGGACTTAATTTTTTTTTTTTATGTAATAGGTCGGCAAACGAGCAGGCGGATTACCTGATGGTAAGCAATCAGCGCCGCCCATGGACACTCGCAACGGCGGAGTTACGAGTGCGTTGCCGACCTTTTAGGGATTAGGGATTTGGAGATTTAGGGATTGAGAAGGGATTGGGGAAGGGGAAGGATTGGGCCTCCGGTAACCTCACTCACACGGCGAAACACAACGCAGTGGTTATTTTACGCCGGTTTTCTGTGAGGCCGTGGTATCACTCCGGTCGAGCCGACCCATTCGTGCCGAAGCATGGCTCTCCCACACTTAAGTATACCTAAAATCATTATGTAACAGTAAACCATGGGTGGTGCAGAAAAATCAAGCGGTTGACAAGAAGCAAAGACGCAGTGTCCCAAAAGAAACATAAGAGAAAAAGGAACTATGAAAAGATTTAGATAACGATTTCAAAACGGGGGAAAAGAAATCAAAGGCATGTTGTATCTTTTAATAATACAAAAAAACTTTGTTAAGAAAATAGGCTACAGAATAAGGCAATGACCTTGAACTTGTTACTACAGCTTTAATAATACAATCAATAAGAGTAGCGGTACTATAAAAATAAAATGCTAGCCATTATTTTATATTACATGTAATTTTCTTTACTGGTTACAATTTCCTACCCACACCCACATAACATCGGATAGGACGTTTTGTTTAATGTTCGTAAAAACGTTTCCTATTTGTCATTTCTATGTTATTTATTTTGGACCTTCATTGATGACTACAAATAGGAAAATGTGACATAATAATATATTACATCTAATAAAAAAGTATTAAATTCAGAGTGAAGATTTCTTCTCTAGTGATTTGCTAGTGCTAGTTACATTGTATTCTGTTGCCTGGTTCTTCTTTTCGAGGAAGGAAAATCAACAAACTTTAATGACTTCTCGCACAGAATGAGGTAAGAAGAAGCATCAGACTCATACTGCCTAAAAATCACCCCGTTCCATCTACTGCTCTATGTTGGGCCGCGGTTTGTTTTTGCGATTGATCCGCACCCATCTGGCTTAAATATCGAATCATAACCATAAGTAAGTGCTAGACTGCACAAAGGAGCAAAACATTGGAAAAATAAGACTTAGATAATACTGAGGTTCTGTGAGGTTATGCTATCCAAAATATTTGCATTAACACAACATCAACCGCAGAAGACAAAACAAATATTATAGTTCTACAAAGATTCCTGGCTGTGGGAAATGTTCAAAACGTGCGCAATGAAATACAAGCCGCTACGAGTCTCAAGGGCCCTTCGCTATTATGAACAGCATTCAGATTAGATTTATAAACGCCAGTGAAAGTGGCGTGTGGATGTTAGCAAAATATGGAGGCTTTGATGGTGTTTTTTTCCTCAACATTACCCGTTTTTTAAGGCATGTTTTTGAAGGGATTTTCTTTTGTAAGGAGACCTTTTTGCAAACTCAGACTTCCTCGTTTTGAGATCACAGGATTATTGAGCAGAAAGATGTTTATTTAGAAAAATGTGATTAAAATAGATTTTAAAATAACTCGAATAAAAATAATATGAAGTAAAAAATGAATGTCTCACCAATGAATCTTGGATGCTTGAACTGATAGTCATCGAAACATTCTTAAAATGTTAAGGTACCGAAAATTTAGAAGTGTTGTAATCGTTTCTGGTTCTTAAGTTTTACGAGCGTCAATTGTGGAGCCTTCAACCGGTTTTTTAAGTACTATCGAAATCAAAGGCAGATCTCAATGAGATCTTGATCGCGGGACGATGTTCTAAGTGTCAAGAATATAGTGATATTACATTTTGAGTTGTTTTAGATACTTGTTGACATAATATTGCAACGTCAATCTAAATTTAAGTATACTTGGTTCTTACGTTACTCGTGGGAGTAATGTTTGTAAATGTGTGTTTTTCTACAGAAATTCAAATACGGCCAAATAAATGTTCCACTATGCAAAAGGTGGATATTAGTGTTAATCAGTCAGACTTTGCTCAACGAAGTAGAGTAGTGTCGGCCAAAATATTTATTTAAATGTAATTCCTTAATTATATGTGTGATGACCCAGAAGATAAACCCTCATGTACGCAGACAAGTATTAATCTGACTTTTCCGAGTTACGTTGTTGACACTGCGGACATAATCGTGAGAAAATATGGACTTCTAACTTAAAATGATAAGTCAGTCCTATAGTAATTATTTACAGACTGAAATCTGTCACATTCCGCCAACAGATGAATAACATCATCTGTAACTCCACACACGTTTTTTTTAAATAAAACGCTATACTTATTAAGCGGCATGTGGCCAGATCTCAGTCTATGTGCGATTACAACAAATTGTCTGCTGAGCTTAGTTTTAAATACATAATGATATTGATAAGTTTGAAAACACCAATCTGTCTTGAGCAAGCGGTGATATTGGTCATTTTATACTTTTGCCACGTTCTAATGTTGCTTAAAAGTTGTGAGGTTTAGTTCCGAGGCTTATGCAATGAATAACTGTGCAGGTATTTATAGGTAGGTTTCTATATACCTTTATGTAGAACCTAGTCGAGTTATGATTGCATGTTATAGTATTAGGTAAAATCTAAATAATATGTCGTAGTTATAAGGTACAATGGGGTTGAAGTATCCATGTGGATAAAATTCCCGTGTACTCATTTTAGAAATAAAAATAAATACTTTCGCCACGTGAAAACTTGATGAATAAACTTGATAGTAATTTTAGCGTTTAAGTTCGGCCATAAACATGAGCTGAGACTTTATAGCAAGGGGTCGATAACTTTATTTATTTATTTTCTTCCACTTTTAGTTCAAATTGAAACATTTTACTGTTGAATATTTGCAAGTACATGGCTGCGTTATTGTTATAGTGCTGTAACATTTGGCTTAAAGGTTAAATGTATTTTTTTATGTTTTAACTACTAATGTAATAAGAACTTTTAGTATGTCGCTTGTTTTTGCTCGCTAGAATTTGTGAGAAGTTTACATTTTTAAGGATCATGATTCAACACGAATAGCTAGTTTGATCAGTGTACTTGGCGTGCACGGTTATTCAGGTGACTGAGGTCACTGGTGTCAAAAATTCAACCTCCATCTTAAGCCCATACCGCATTTGGGAATTTTCTGATGTTACGGATGTCTACGCCCAATTAAATAATAGTATCCCAGATTTACTCTCGTTTCTTTCTATCTTAAACCTCTACTTGATCAGCAACGAAGCTATTTTACCATACCGTATTGATATTATGAAGCACGTTAAGTTAACAAATATACTCAATAGTCTTAGTTCGTTCATATTCCTACATAGATATATAACAAAGTACATGCATTCCCGCTGGTTAGTTAAACAACTATGTGTATGCTCATACCAAGCTTGTTAGCGCTGCGTCTGATATAGATTGACTGTAATGGATTCACGATATTGTGTACCGATATTCCGATGCATGTTCCGATTATTATGGTCGGGCAGTGAAGAAATTTGGATCGATTGTTCGTATGGAGAATATTGGAAGGACTTTAATGTTACTATGTTAAGGTGTATTTTTTTTAAAGTGGTACGATTACACGCACTTGTATTTTCTTCTGCGTT